TGCGCGAAATGACTCGGCTTATATCTGCAGTTAGGTAAGCCTCTGGAGGATTTTTCGCAGTTTTCGAGTCTCACGCATACTTGTCGAGTGTAGCGCCGAACGCACACATACTCAACGTCTCGACCCGTAGCTTGGCGCTTGGCTGGTTGGGACGCGCGAAGATTTCTAGGAGCGATCGCACTCACACAGATTCGCTGCTATAAGAGTTCCGTACGCGACGCCGACGCGTGCTCCAAAGCTCCGCATCACGTCGACTTCGTGGCAACAATGTACTTAATAGTAGTAGATAAGTAGATGAAGTCATATGGAGCGTCACGAGTGTTCTTCCTTTACCATCAAAAGCGGGCAGTGTCGGTAAGCGTAGTTAAGGCACCACCGTCAACTGCCGCATGGTATTACCGTCACGAGTACGTGAGCCGCCAACGGTCACTGGTAGATGGTACCGCTATCGCGAGTGCGCGAGCTCAATATCAGAAATTCGTTGCGCCGCCTTTGAGGGCAAAAAACGGTGAAAGCTAACGCACGAAACCAGAGGGCAGCACAGGATGCGATCGCACGATCCCTTCCGTGAGCAATCTCCCAACTCATCTCTGCTCATCTCTGTCTCAACGCATCTCTGTCACTATCATGAGTACGTGAGCCGCCAACGGCGACTGGTAGATGGCACCGTCATCACGAATGTGTGGCGGATCCGGGACGAAGTTCGACCATCGACCACCAGGGGCGTAGCACGCGTCGAGCGCGTTGCGTTCAGGTCGGAACAAACTGCGTCACCCCGCGCACATTACTGTACTTACCTCGAGCCAAAAGACGACTACGTCGTAAAATGTTTTAAAAACGGTTGAAAATAAAAATGAAGACTGTGACCAATTCTAGAGCGCCCGTGGAAATTCGCTCCTTTTTCTGTGATAATAAAGCAATAACTATAAATAAAGTGGTGAAATATATTTGGCAATCCCCACAAATGCGCGAGCCCATACCAGAAATTCGTTGCGCCGCCCTTGAGGCAAAAAAACGATGAAAGTTAGCATTCAAAACCAGAGGGCAGCACAGGATTCGATCATGCGACTCTGCCCATAAGCAATCTCCCAACTCGTCTATGGAGTAAAGAACTGTGCGGGCTGTGAACAGATAAACAGTGAATGAAGTTTAATATGCCACTTGTAGCATAAAGAAGGTTAAACATTATGTCTTACGTACAAGAGTGGCCAAAAGAAATAAGTTTGAGCAAACAGTAAATATGAAGTAGGTGATCTACGAATCAAACGGCTGAAAAATTAGCATAACAATATGGCTATCCTACCCCTCCCTTTCTGTTGTGCCGGCTTCTTTCTCTGGTCTGAGATGAGACATTTGGACTCTGTCTATATATTCTTACGTTCATGACAATTTCTCATTCGTTTCGCTGCGCGATCTTCCTACGTCATGCGCATCCGTGCGCGCACATGCGCGTGACACCGCCGAAAGTGGCTGGAAGAATGAAATATCGGCCTGTTGAACCGCGGGCTAATTAAATTAATGAATTCTTTAAAAGGATAAAAATTAGATAATATTTTCTCAGAAGAGAAACGCAAAAAGATACAATGTTGAAAAATCTATGTACATGCGGGATCATATAGATCAAGATTTTCTGATTAGTTTCAGAGTTGCGTAAAGAGTAAAAGAGATAGGAAGTAATTCTATATGCAATGTCAACTGTATCAATTATCGCTGTACCCTAATTATTGCTGTTATTTCGGTTTTTGGAATTTTGGCAAATTTTAGCAGTAAATGAAATCACACTATTATAACGATAGATCGCAGAGGTTATTTATTTTTTTACCAGTTCAGAAATCTTTAACAGAATGATATTAGATGCACTGTTTTAACTGTGTTCGATCAGTGTAAGTTTTGATTTCTCAATGGGATATATTACAAGATAAATTTAATAAGATGCTTTATAAACTCAATTCGTCTTTGTGCATTTAAAGCAGAGAAACGCGTAAATGACTAAAATCTCGTTTCATACAATGGTAGTTAAAATAATAAAACGTTTAAAAAGTTTAACTTTAATTGTAAATTAATAGACTTACTGAATCCTTAAACCGAATATTTCATTAAGTAATACATACAAAGTTACCCATCTATTTTTCAGAAAAATTAGTTTTACATATATGATTATTGATCTTTGATCATTGGAGCAAAACTCTTTGATATATACTGTCAAATATCTTCCTAGAAGAAACTATTAATACATGTTATTATGAGTATTTGCTCTTATGAACGTTACGTTGAAAACATTTTGTAATGATCAAGATAATAATATGGTACAAATTTCTGCTTCATTCCTATACAAAGCAAACAGTGAATCACTTTTTTTTCTAAAATTATAGTTAAAATTTATCGAACCGCGATAACACTTTTTAAATATATACCCAATTGCAGAAACTATACAAAATTATTAAAAATTGCCTATTCAGTTCCCTTCGGTCACAGTTCACATTCATTTTATTCGATGATTGAATTAAATAATGTTCAACAAACAATGCTTTTATACATCTTCTCTCAACTTGGAAAATCAATCAGGATCTGACGCTATTTGCGCTCCTTAATTAACGACCAATGTGTACAAGAGTGTTTTTGCATTTAGGAACTACTTGGCAGCAGTCGCGATGTTGAGAAAGACTCGTATAAATTCGTTCTACCTGTAGTTCTCGTCTTTGCCCCTTATATCCTAGTAATTAATCTAAACATGGTTTATATTTATTCAAGTGGACAAGGTTCAGTATCGCGCATTTAAATATGATCTCGAGTCAAAAGGAAGTTAATTCTAACATTGAAATTAAGTTGAGTGGGCCACCTCAATGTTCTAGAAAACTGTAATATACCACTCTCATTTCCCTTCAATTAGTTAACTATTGCAAACAAATCCGGAAACAGTATGCAATTACAAAATTTTACGCAAAGAAAAAACACATGTCACTGCCTGCGCAAACGTAAGAAGAGAGATATAAAAAATAATGTTTTATTTAAATCTTAGGGACGAAATTAGGATTTGTTGCTTGAGTAATGAAAAGAAGTTTGTTTTTCTAAGCTATGCTCGAAATAGCTTTAGCGTTTCCCATTATTGTAGTTGACAGTTCGCAATGGCGCTTTAAACGTCGATGCAGACTGTTGCTGAATTTGATAGGCCAGTGGGTGAATTTTGAACCCATATAACCTGCAATTCATCAAAATAATGATTTTTGTAAATATTAGATATAGTCTTATACGATCAAATATTTTGTCTGAAATTACAGTTAAATATTACTTTTCTATAAAATAAATAAAAATTTTAGGAAGAGAAAAAGATCTCACCTAGGTACAAATTGATTTGTGGCACGTTTTGGTCGATATTCAGGATGGACCATGAATAGCATATGTGGAAATCCTGTTCCAAAGTAGGCACCGTCGGTGTGGTGGTGTCGTGAGCTTTTGGGTGTATATACATCCATACATTTTGGACAGTAACTTTTTACCATTGCTTCACCAGGAACATCACTCAATCCCAGCGGCAACATTGGTTGAGATTCACAATAAACTCGTGGACAATGACCAAAGTCACCTGCTTGATACTTCTCAATCATTTGGGCGATACCTCGGTTGGTAAGAATATAACGGGCATGAATAAGACCATATAGCATTTCTGCTGCTTGCTCTATTAAATCAGACTGGTTTGGATTATCTTCGATATCGTCATCTAATGAAAAAGAATATAAAGCATATGTAATTTAATACCAAGGACGTGCATTTTTATAGAATAGTATTCTGAAGTTTATATAATTATTTACCAGGCTCAAGGTCAAGAATCATGTCCAAGGCCTGACGATAATGTGGTACCTGCTCATTCAAGCCGGTTAAATTAAACTTGTCTTGAATGTAATCTTCGTCGACCTAAAGAAGCAAACGGATTAGTATACCTTTTTTTTAATTCTTTAATATACCGTAGTGTACTTGAAATATTTCTCAAACATAGCCTTAAAATCTTAAACATGAATTAATCAATCGGTGCTGAGAAATAACTTGAATTTTCATTCTTATGGTGTAGTGATGCTTTTATCAATAGATCAGTCGAAAGACTTTAGCAACACGTATTACGATTGACTGCATGAATGCAGCAGCAGTAGAGCAAACTTACCTCGCAAAAGAATTCGTTGCCCCTCAGACCGCAAAACCATGAAATCCATGACACCTCCTCGGAACTGCTCATTTTTCTGGCAAGAGGCAAATAAAAGCTCCTTAATGCTTTGAAATACTGGTGTATGGGATGGGTCAGAGAGGCGCGCAATCGGTGCGCGGTGACGCGCGAGCTCGCTTATTTAAGTATGTGAAAATTATTTGTGGCAATCGGTGGCGCAGTACCTATTCAGTAATTATTCTGTATAATAATTCGAACAGTAAGCGTCTAGAAAACGTAAGAAAGAGATATTTGGGGACAATGGAGTTTTAGCTTTACTAGGCAAGATGCCCGACGTTATAGCCTGTCCTGTGTTTCACCTACATTTCTGTGGTCATTGCTGCTTCGTCAAATGATTTTCAAGCACGAGGAGCGAGCGGGCCGGGCCGGGAAACACATTACTCAGGAAAAACCTACGAAAGACCACGCGGTCCACCGAAAACCCAAAAATAAACAGCCCTTACGGCTTACCTTTTGGTGCCTTGATTAGCCACGCTTGCTCGCCCGAAGGGGATAGATGTCACTGGCGTCGCTCTTGACGCTCCGCCACCTTTCGGCAATATGTTATCAACCGCCTTTAAACGGCTTTTCACGAAAATTCAACTCTATCTGATCACAGCTTATGAACGATATGTATGATCTTTCGAGTTATGACTCTCTTTAAGAGTGAACATCACATGATGAATGGATTGATTTTTTACGCCTCGCCGTGTGAACTGGATAAAGAAGCGATTCACATAAGTTACCGACGATTGTGCAATTGTTCAAATATGTCCGTACATTCAAAAAATAAATATTGTTCATATAAAACGTACTCTGCGACGTTTTCTTTTTATATTCAAAACCAATACTGGGTAATTAAAGGTAAAAATCAATGTTGAGTACTTCATTTTGAACGATTCGATTTTAAGAGTAGGTCCTTGATATGACTACGCGACTAAATTTTACAAATAGCGCGAAATTTCAAAAGATGCTTTATTTTATACTAAATGCGGGTGCATAATGATTCTGTCACGTTATTCATTTTCATTGCACAAAGACATGTAGGTATATCCGGATTTCTCATTAATTTTGTAACAGAAAACATTTGTTTCAAATCATTGTAATTATCCCAGTGAAAGAATAAAATGGTTTCATAATACTTTCCACTTTTTTCATAAAAGCCAAAAAAAAAGATCTTTCTTTTGATTATGAGAACAGAGGGACTATTCTTTCTCTTTTTATTATTATTATATCGGAGGTTGCCATATTGCGTTGCGTAACTTTCATGTAAAGGAAAAAAGAGTGAGATATCGACCCCTTTGTTCTCTCTCGTTTCGTTCTGCTATTTTCATAATAAGATCAGTATACGAACGTCCATATATCCTTCGTTCACGGTTCAATAGGACAGAGTGTAGTTACTTTTTACCTCTGCTACGAGTCGGCTATGGACGGACAGCTATGGTAAGCGTTTCAGAGTAGTATCACTGAAATGTCAGGAAATTCGATAGAGTTTCGCGCCAAATATACACTTGTATACGTATAGTAAACTGGAACGCTCCCCAGGCTTAAGCGTACACGGCAAGCTTCTTCCAGAGGAAAAGATATTTGGATGGTCTTCATCCTTGTCGCACGAACTTCAGTACGCATTTGTGCGAGAGAGATAAAGTATGCCCGGCTCTCTATCATTGTTTCACCTTTAGAGAAAATATTCCTGCTCTTGTTTAAGCGATGCGTGTGCATCGTTTGTACAGTTCGAAACCAAACTTCAATGAAATGGAGTGAAGTGATAATCCAAAACATATCGGTAGTACAATAATTTGACAGAATGGTATATTTTTGTATAGTAAAAGCATTCAATACTTTTTACATTATTTATCTTTAATTATTGTATTCGTTAAATATATAAGGNTTTAATTATTGTATTCGTTAAATATATAAGGTTAGTTTTCTATGAAGAAAAAAAAATGTCTAATAGAACTGTATACCTAGTAGCGGAGATGATTTCAAGGTCAGCTCGAGCCGATCATGCTGGCGAGTGTTCCAGTTTACTATATATTTCAGTGGTTAGTATATTTCAATGCATGATGCCTCATTAGGGAATTAAAATGATTGAGTAAACGTGTGGTGCCATCTATTATCCGTGAATAACAGCTTGTATATTTCATTCATTATGATACGAGGAATGTTCTGAAGTTCTGAATATTTTGATAAAAGGCAACAAATTTAAAATTGAAATTTGTTTATGATCCGCAGATTTTTCACAAAATCAGTAACGATTATGTTGGCTGTTTAGATGAAAGGTAATATAGAATTTGAAACCAGAGAACCGTTGCTGATAAGTCAGAGAACTAATAGGAAGTCAGTAGGCTGTCGGTAACGTGTAACTACATGTCGGTAAGATGTTATAAATCATGCAATGATTGTTTTACCACAATCATACGATTTATGTTGTGGGTTTAAAATAATAAAAGTATAAATTGCCTGGTTTATGACACGTTTAATTTATTCATTTGGTATATCTAGGAACAGTGATTTAATTATCTTTATTCATCTATGCATTCTCACATATATACTGCTCTTTTTTAATCATGCTCTCTTTCGATCATTCGCACATTCATTTACATACATACACAGTCTTCTGAATAGATAACACTGCCTGTCAATAACGTCACAATGAACTTACTCAGTACGCTACAAATCGCCCCCATTCTTCGAGCCTGTCTTAAAAAGTAAAAAATCTTTACAGTCTTGCTGAGTTTTTGTAGAAAAAAGGATTCGCCAAAATGCTTTAAATCTTGTATTCTGTTGAAACTTCCGTATGAATATTTGACAGTCTTTAAAGTCGATCGAGTCTGTCTGGTTGCTTGGGGATATCTTACAGTAATCATTAGATGTACATCAGTTAAATAGATTAAGCGTACATTGGCAGTATTTAAACTTTCGAAGAATTCATAGCAAATGATTTTGTACAATGATACGTCGTTTACAGACATCGTACCGAAATACTTAAACAATAAAAATGCCGTAATGTATCTACAAACTATTGTTTTTTGACGATCGACATAATGATAGCATATTGATAGAGAAAAGTCACTCCTTGTTTCATTCTTGGACACTGGTGTTGTAGTTTTCTTTCTTGGCTTTTTCCATGCATTTATTTTCTTGTGTTTTTTAAAGATTTAAAAAATGTCGAGAGTGCGTTACAAGAAAACTTGGGGAGTAATTAATAGCACGCGATTTTCGGTGTCTTCTTGGCAGCATACGTGTACATACATAAGTGTACATACAGTAATGATATTCGAAGATCAACTATCGATCGATCGATAACACCTATGGGCTACATAATAAAGTACACTAGAAGTCAAACGTGAAATGTAGCTCTCAAATCACGTTTAACGTTATTATTTGGCCTCGTTCCAAATCTTGGAGCGCTACAAACTCTCAAGTGCAAATGGAACACTAATTTTGCCATTACGGCGACAGTATCTTGATAATGTAGAACAATGTAAATATTTACAAACATAAACAGGGGATGTAGTTAAAATTATCGCAACACTGTCGACGTCCTTCGGCAAGTGACAGACTCATGGTGTCATAACTCGAAGTTAATGGAGCATGCTCGTCAATTAGAGGCGCAACTCCGGAGTAAATGTAAAATTCGACGTTGTTAGGAATTTCCTCCAATAATTTAACCATCGGTCTCACAGAGCGATGGAATCCAAAGAGCGTTGATTTTCAATCGACACTGCAGTTCAACGTTTTTCACAAATTCTGGAGATGCCCATCATACGTGTATAGTAAACTCCTGCCGTTCTTGTTCCTTTCTTTGCTGATACCTAAAACACAAAAGCGCAAATAAGCGTTAATGCATACACCCCATCGAAATACATGTCTCAGTAATAGGTAGTATCAATATGTAAGTAACAAATAGGATATATTCGGAGTCAACAGAAACTAAGGATCAATGTAAAGTTAGGCAAAATGAGTACATAAAAAAGACTGATGCAAATGAACAAGACTGACAGACAACCAACTCCATGGAAACGAATGAAAAGAGGAACTGTGATTTTAAACTTTCGATAAAGGTGATTTGTCACCTGGATATGTATAATTATTATTTCTCTCTATTATCTTCCTGCATGGTTTTCTGTCAGCTGTGTTTCTGTTTTCCTTTCTGTTTCCGATTGACCAAGCTGCTGTTAATTTTGACTCTCCTTTTATTCAAGCTAGTGCCTCGTTTTAAGTGAATGCCACAAAGACCTTTATGGAGCGGGATGTAGTACCTCGCGAGCATGGTCTCGACGGCCTCTATGGGAAGTCTACCCAGACTGCCCCCATGGCGGGTCCCGATGGGCAGTCCTTGCCATTCACGGTCACGATCGCATTCTGCTTCGCTCAATTCGCGGCTGTCGCTGAACCCGCTTGGTGGCAGCAGCGTCATGTCCTCCACCGAACTATGCACAGTAGGTCACAGACTTAATGCGTTTGGGGATGACTAAACGTCTCGAGTAATCGGCGAGATCTAACGTAATCGACAATGCCTGCTGGCATAGGATACGGTGTTTCGAACCTTCGCCCTTGACTTGTAATACTTGTCATTACGACTGATGGAACTTTATTGTGACAAGAGATTCACGAGATACGTTAACCCTTTACTTTTTATATTCATATCGTGATTATAAAAATGTTGCTCGGAGCCACGAACCACTGGAGTATCATATCTTACAAACATTCATACAAACTATGTTTGCAATATATAACCATTTGTGGACTACAGTCCTTGTGAATGAAAAATGACAAATTACGTGTGAATTACACAGATATGGAGAAATGGGAAAAAAAGGGTTAACTGTAGCGTTTTTAAATTCGTATTTATTTCATTGACTTTAATGGATAATTATTTGTTTATAATTGAAATATTTTGATGTTGGAGCTTTTCTTATAAAAAAATTGATACGATAGAACAGGATGAGCACGATGGATAAGCAGTAGCTTCATCAGAAATATTGATGTAAGCCACTGTTAAACAATGGAGGAAGATGATAACCAAATGGATTTAAATACAAGCTACGAATAGAGTGTCAAAACTGGGATGGATTTTAGATGAAGATCTTTTCCAGATTTAATATTCTACAAGTAAGATTGAGACTGAGTGCTATGTGGAAACAAACAAACCTTGGCTACCTGCGAGTGGACCGGCTTGGTTGTCTGCTACGACGCCTCCCAAGGGATGGTGAACCCTCGTTGTTTGATTCTGTACTCGATTCGACTGCACGTGAGAAAACGTCTGAAAAATGCCCAATTTCATTCATTAAGCAGTACGCAATATAAAAAAAATTAATTCTGAGTAGACTGACCATTTTCATATTAATTATATAAGAGACTTAAGTTTAATGAAAGTTTAGTAGCAGTTTCATTGAAAACAAAAAAAAACTGACCTCTACAAGGCTTCACTGGAACTCTGTAACTCGGTCCTGCACATTCGCCACTGGGGCTACCCGAAGTATCGCTTCCGGAACCGCGACGGCTGGAACGCAGCTTGCTTTCGGCTTCAGCTATACTAGGAAAGTATCGCTGCTTGTGCCACCTAGGCGTTTTTGATCTATGAATAAAATAATATACATGGAATTAAAAAAAGTGATTGTGATATATTTATCGCTAAGCATTATGTCTACTTGTTTCAGAAAAGATACTTCATAAACTTTCTTATTTAAGTGAATCGTATAGGAAAGGAATCTATTTTTGTTCTGCAGTCCAGGAGGTTATATCGTAAATTTCTCATTTAGTATCAATACCTTTCAAAATCCACACTGGATCTTTCGTAATCAATAGTATTGATGCCTTCATTATCTAAGTGGCCAAATGTTTTGAATTGCATGGTGTAATCCAAAGTTGCTGTCGTCACGGAACGATTTTCTCTCCCGGGAACGCTGAAGGTGGCATAGGGACTTATCTCGTACATTTCTGTGAGTATATAAAATTGTCATTAAATCCGGATATGATAAGATTGAGAGTTAATGATTTTAGGTCACATCAATAAGATACCCGAACCGTGATCGTTGGATTTATGATTGTCCTGCTTCACCGGTGAGCTGGTATAAACTTGATGGTTACGTCTGTTATCGCGTTCAGCTGTTGACTTAAGTTGAACTGTTGACATGTAACTCGATAGGTGGTGATGCTGGTGTTGTTGTTGTTGACTTATACCCAGACCCAGTTGCTGCTGCTGTTGCTGTTGACTAGGTAATATCTCGCCTAAATAACTTGCTCTAAAAGTATGTAGGAATTGCAAACAAGAAGAAGGTATAAATAATCATCCATGCTTGTTACAATTTCAAAGTATATGTTTTGTGATAATATTTTTGTTATTCTTGCTATGAGGATAAGTTAGAAGTTTGTAGATATGTAAGAAGGAAATGAAACATAAAAGTATCAATATATGTTCCTTACCGACCGCTACGTTTCAGCATAACGTAACCGAGGATGATGGCTGATATAATGAGCACAATGGCACAAACAAGAGGTACCACAACGTATAGAACTTTTTGATTCGGTACAGCTTTGACCATATCGTCATCCATAATAAGATCATTTGGTGGTCCAATGCTGACACCGCTTAATGTTGTTGTAGCAAATTCCATTTGCGTTTGAGTAGAGCCAGCGTCATTATGTGCCGTAAGACGAACACTGTACCACGAGGCTGGCTTCAAATCCCGGATTATTACGTTTTCGGTTGCGCGACTAGCTACCAAAATCCAAGGCTCTGTACCGATACGTCTTCGGTACTCCACGGTGTAGTAAAGAATTGGACAACCTCCACTAGGCCATGACAATAAATTTAAACGAAGAGATGTTGCATTTGCGGAGATAACATCTCTGTCCTTGGGCAATAATGGTGCTGCGTGGAAAATATATAATTGAACACAATTTAGAAACGGATGAGTATTAATTTAAAAACAAGGTATAAAAACGAATTCATCGTTACCAGTTCCTTTGGTTGTGGCACTGATCAGGGAACTAGGATCCCCAGTTCCTACTCTATTATGTGCTGTTAAATGGGCAAGGTAGGATGATCCACATTTTAAACCACTAAGGGTAAATTCTGTTTGTTCCGGCGATAGTGCGATTTCCTCCCAACCGCCTTGATCTCTTTTATAACTCAGAACATATCCTAAAATGTCAGTGAACATATATACCGGAATTGTAGACTGTAATTCGTCGTTTTAGAGAAACCGTATTCGCCAGATTGTAACTAATGGCATATTACAATATTTTGCGGGGTTACGTGATCATTAGGTTTTGTTCGAAATTATGAATTACAGTATATGACGTCGACATATACATTTATAAGTCTCTGATAGCTAGGGCTTTAAAAGATTTATGCTTACAGCATCAAAAATTCTGACTGTAGATGTTAACTTATAAGGAAACGTTTCCTTATTAGATTTACACCTAGATTAAACACAATTATGTGGCCAAGGGAAAATGAGTAAATACTTTTAACTTGATAAAGGTTCTGCTCATTTTGCAGTAACTGTAAAGCCGAGTATCGAACTTACCTTGAATAGTAGCACCGCCATTATCCGGATGAATCCAACGGAGTCTAATACTATGGGCCGTTGTATATTGCAGTTCCAAAATTGGAGCTCTCGGAGGCATTACAACAATTAAAGTATAAGTAATGGAGTCATCTCCAAATAGGTTACTGGCTGAGCATGTGTAATTTCCAGCCACCGACTGCTCCAAGTCTGCAATATTTAAGTTGACAACATCAAATGATATGAAATGGGATAAAATAAATATTCATAATATATATTAGCATCGTTTGCGGGTTAAGAGATAAAATATTTTACCATGAATATTTAAATGGCCTTCAGAGGTCAGCTCATAATGTCGACCTGTGGATACTTGACTACTTCGATAAGTCCAAATGGGACGTGGAGTAGGATTGCCCACGACCAAACACGACAACGTGACTGATGATTTTACAGCTCTTCGTAGCATTTGTGAAAATGACGCTACCCTAGCTGGTGCTGAAAAGAAGAAAAATAAGTTACAGAATAGAAGCATAGTGTAAGTATTAAAGAAAGTTGATCAGTGCAAACGTATTGTACCTCGTGTATTTGTTGTTTGCGTTACGATTGTAGTTGATTCACCTTCTCCGACTCCAGTCGTGGCGGATACCCAAAACTCATACAGCTGCCTGAGAAATGCATATATATCATGTGACGATAGGAATTAGATTTTAATATGTAGAAAATTAAATTAATTATATTAATTATTATACCTTTCAACCAAACCCCGTAGTTCCATTGTCAAAGTATCGGTCGGAGATAATGGTGGTTCGTGCATTGTATGCGTATTATGTCTTCCCGCACCAACCTCTTTACTGTAAATCGTGTATTGAGAGACGTGTCCATTAGGTTGCAACGGAGGCAACCAGGATACTAAAATGCTCTCTGCAGTTAATGCCAAAGCTTTAATACCCGCTGGTGGACCTGGAACTGATATAGCAAATGAATTACTGACAGTTTGCCAGGTAACCAAAATTCCTTACCATCTTCTTCTGTTGTGCAGAAGATTGGTGCACTTAGAACTCCATCTCCAGCTCCGGTATATGCTAGGACACTAATCGAGTAATTTGTGTACTTGTACAATGTATGCAGAAACGTTTCTTCGCTTGACGTCCTCTTAATTTCTCCTATAGTCGATATATCCACTACAAAAGAAGATCATAGTCGAACAAATTAAAGAAAGGACAATAAGGATTATGAACTATGTATTGGCTTCAAAGTGCGATATGTTTGGTTTCCGAATTACTATTCCCACTTACTGTTATCCGTTGGAACAGGTCTGTAATATACTTTATATCCTTGAATGACTCCACCATGCTGATGAGCAGGTGGAGCCCCCCACGAAACTTTCACAATTTGCGATGAAAGAGGACTGCACGACACTTGAATTGGTGGCGCTTCCGGTACTGCGATTAAAAGAGAAAAAAATTGTTATGTTGTATAAAGAACATACAGTCTAGTGTTTAATTAAAACTAATGACGTTACCTCCTTCTTGAGTTGTACCGACGACAGGTACACTAGCTGGTCCACTAGCGATACTATTAAAGGCTCTGATGGAAATGTCATATTTGGTAAATTTTCTCAAACCGGCTAGTTGAACTTTAGTAGTAGCCCAGCCATTTACTGTTAGACTTTTACTTTGATTCACACCTGACGTGGAAGAAGAATGCTCCGACCACGTAACTATGTATCCTAAGAGGTCACCATTGCACGATTCTTTTGGGGGCATCTACGAATGAAGAACTTGGTTCGTATTACTGTAAATAAATAATTACACTGTATTCTTCAATATTTTTTCCAGGTCTTACTTACTTGCCAGTGAACGATTAATTCGCCCGGTCCAGCTGATTCCACTTTAACATTCTGAGGAGCTTCGGTAGGCGCTACATCAATTGAACATTTATATTAGATCATGTTTTCTATTTCTTAATAATAGACATATTTAATAATCCCCATACCTTCTTCCTGAGTCTTTGCTACTACGGGATCCGTAGGAGGGCTAGCATCAATTGAGTTTATAGCGAATATTCGAAAAGTATACGTCACCGCTGGATGAAGACCTCCTACTAGAGCAACTTCATGCTCGTCACTGGCAACTTCAAAACGAGACATTCCTGAGATGATTGGAAAAAATGTATAAATACTACTAAATCATGAGTTAAATAAAAATTAAACGCAGATCATCCATCACTAACCAGTTTGTGTTGGACTGGCGATTGCTGCTGCATTCAAACTACCTGGTGTGAATGTTACGTTATGAGTTTTGGCGGGATCCCAGTCTTCGGTTATAGAATTACTCAAAGAACGATATTGGATAACGTAATTACGAATTGGACTATTTCCGTCAAAAGATTTCTTCCACGAAAGTCGGATGGACCTAGATCCAATCTCAATTACTTCCAACGATGTAGGGGGGTCTGGTCTTTCTGTGATTATTATAAAATAAATATTGATCGGTTTAATAAGAAAATATGGTCTTGGAATTAACTGTTCTGGATTTACCTTGCACTGCCAGATAGATCAAATGTTCACTTCTTCCATAAGCATTATCAGCTGTACATCTGTAGATACCAGAATCTTGACGATCACTACTAGTGATCGACAGCTGTGACTTTAGACCGTTATCCATTTTGACTTGACTAATGCTGGATCTACGTCCATTTACATCCAACCGATCGTTATTGTGCATCCATAGCACCTCTATTGGGTTATCACCGATTACGGTGCAGTCTAAGGTGACCGATTCTCCTCTACGAATCGTTACATTCTTGCTTTGAAATTCGAATCTTGCTGGCTCTACGAAGGATGAATCGAGATGATTTGAGAATAAGTAAATTAATAGACCGTTTAATTAGTATTAACCAATGTTTATAATAGTAAATGGAATATTAACAGAGCAAATACGTATGAATTTATACCGTTTACAGAAACGTAAATCATTTTGCTTAGTCCGGATCCTATGCCGTTGTTAGCTCTGCAAAGATAATGACCCTCGTCTTGTGGGCCAGCAGAAGCTGTCCATAATGAACCATTTGGAAGGATTGTGATTCTACCGTTGTGTCCATCAACTAGTGGCTGATAGTCATTAGCTGCTCTGCCACGGCCACGAAGCCACGTAACTGTTGGTGGTGGGAAACCTTTGGCTTCACAGTGAACATTTAAAGGATTGCCTAATAACGTTGAAACATCCTGCGGTTCGAAAATCCATTGCGGAGTCACTTTGACCAAAAGTTCTGCAGTATGATTGACTCTGGCGGCACTGTTGGTAGCTACACAGGTGTATTTTCCACTGTGACGCGAGGAGACTTCTTTAAATACCAGAACACTAAAGAATTCGGCGCCTCGTTCCTCTATCTAAGATACCAATGCACATCAGTCTTACCGACTCGTTTACAGAGGTTCTCGCCGAATATAACATAATGGTATAAGTCACTTACAAGCAAAGAAGATGGAAGAGGTTCTCCGTCCTTCAGCCAGGAAAAATTAATCGGTAGATCTCCGGATGTCACGCTACAAGTTACCTGAGCACGACTACCTTCTTGTAGGTTTGGTGGGAAACCAAACGGACCCATAACGGGCGGACCTGAAAACAAATATGTCTCTTAGTATAATCTGATAACATACATTATTCAATGAACGCATATATTTTGTAATGGATGAACATACTGCTGACGGTAAGTTGTATGTCTCTGCTGGCAGTCTCGTCCGATCTTGCACGAACCGTGCACGTGTACGTTCCTGCATCGCTCGGGTCAACGTTAGTAATCGTCAAGAAACCTTCTTTATCGAGTTTGTGCCTCATATCTAGAGGCAATTCAACATTCCCTCTGGACCATTCTACAGATGTTATCGGATAACCAGAATACGGACAAGCAATGACTGTGTCTACACCCGCTATAGCTTTGACTGGTCCAATGGATCGAATATAAGGTGGTCCTAAAGATGTTACATAAAAGTACAACATACGCATGTTTCTTGGATCTTCACTGGATAGAATCGAAATATGAAATGTTACGAGTTAAATTTTGCGTACCGTAGATATTCAGTCTAGCTTTGTGAGCAACTGTTGCAAGAGTGTTGGCGGCTACGCAAGCATAAAGGCCGCCATCTTCAGCTCCAGCAGAAGTTATGTTAAGATGACTGATAACATCACCGGATTGATCCACGTATTGACCAATCGCATATCTATAATTAATTAAATAGTTGTGTCTGATATACTTCCAAATAAAGTATTACACGTATAATAGAATAAAAACAAACGAAACTTAATACAGATGTTAGTGTTTTGAAACATTTACTCAAGCCATGTTTTTTCGACAGTCGATGTTTTGGTCGACAGACCAAACAAAATCATGTAATATGGTTACCTGTGACCCGCGGCAATTTCGCTGAGAGGTTCTCCATCGAGGAGCCACGTGAAAGATGGCGGGGGCGACCCGGTAGCTGAACATCTCAGAGATACCGGAGGTCCAGGTCGCAAGGCCTGCTCTATGAATGTATACTGCAGTTCCGGAACGGTATCTGAAATTTGAGGTCTACATCATGATCACTTTCAGATAATTTCCGACCACGAAGGCCGAGCTCGTAATTGATAACTTTTTTGCTTCTAAAAAGAGTATACTCAGTGGTATATTGGTCAAGGAAGAAGGAACAAAAGAAATCCAACGTAAACAACGATCCTTTCGACGCGCGGTGTTGCTCGTTAATTTAATCTATAATCTGACTGACGAATCTGCATTTAGATTTATTTTCGGCAAGTTTATATCATTTCAGGCAGAAAAAATTAGCGCAATTTTCGGCGGGTTCCAGTCGCCGAAAGTCCACCAAGGGTCACTCACCTCCTAGCTTCAGTTCCGCAGTAGCCTGAGCGTTCTCCTTGTCGCTCCTCACCAAACATTGGTACATCCCCTTGTCTCGCCGACCGACCGAGCCCACTACCAGGACCAGGGGTGCCAGCAATCTGATCCTGGTCTCTTGGGCGGTCAATACCGGTATTCCATCGTGTAGCCACTCGACGCTCTCCACAGGGTAGCCTTCGACGGTGCAATTCAAGGTGGCCGTCTCTCCCGAATTAACGACCTAGTCCCATCAAATTAACGCTTGGTCTCATTAAGAACTATTTGCAGGATCCCACCGATATCGTTAAACGTGGCACTCTCTTACTTGTAAACGCGGCTGGATTCGGGCGTTTAACTTCGACGTGACGGAGAGGTGAGTCTCGGCTCGTTGCTCGCCGAATTGATTACTTGCTCTGCAGATGTACCTGCCAGCGTCTTGTGCATCCACCCGACGAATTTGCATTAGATCCCCCCAAAGTTGGATCCGATTGAAAGACTCGACTGGGATCGTGTGACCTAAACAGTCAAGGAGAAACTTTTGGTTCATTTACTCAGAATCTAACTTTGGTTTACAGTAATTCGATCAATAAATATACCTATTCAGCGTATTTACGACCGCAATTTATTCGGGGTAGAACTTGCAAAGTATTCTGGCGGAAGAATCCGGATCAAAGGTTCAAGTATAACGCCGGTAGACGCGTCGGTTATAGAGCTTAAGAAGGTAATCGATAGAATCGACTAACCATTAACGTCACGGTACCAGGTGAACTGCGGCGGTGGATTTCCTTGAGCCGAGCACGTGAGATGCACGTCGGATCCACGTTCGGCCGAAATTGCAATCTGTGAGCGTTGCATCAATCGTGGCGGCATCGAGTCACTTTGCTCTGGAACGTATACATTTAGGTACCTTAACTTGCGGTCGTTTAAACCTCACCGCGCCTACAAAGGGAAATCTTGCGGAAAAAGCATTTGCCTCGATTTATATTCTCCATCTTACCTTCAATGAATACAAAGTGCCGAGGTACAGGTACGAAATAATTTAAAGTGCATGGTAATTTATCCGTTCAAGATCTGAAGAATAAGTCTTTGAGTCGTCTCGAAGAAAAGTCAGAAAGGGAGAGAATCTTTAATCTCGGCTCCCTTTGAAAACCTATATCGCATCACTCGAGAGCGAGGTCTAACCTTTCTGAACTTTTCTGTTCGCGGCGGAGAGCCTTCTTGAACCTACCGGTTACGGTGAGAGTTGCCGGTTCGCTTCTCCTTCTCTCCCCTGTGAGGGTGTGCAGGGTTAAGCACGAATAAGTGGCTCGTCCATCCTCGGCTCTGGTAGCCCTGATATGAAGTTCCCCCTGTGACGTCACGACAAATCTACCACCTACAATGGGAAGTTGAGAGACGACGTTGATAATGGTTGCATTGAAAATATTAATTCGAATAAAATGAGCAAAGAGGGACGACCATGTCAATATAGAGGTATCGATCACATTTCATATTTGACCCTGTCGGTCAAGAACGGTAAATATTATATTTCACGTCACCCAGTAAGCGCGATGAATCGCAATTTATACGAAAAATAAATTTATTCGAATATGGAAAAATTATTCGCCGTCTAATTAGTTATGTTACTCCAAAAGTCACTAAAAAATGCAATGGAACAATAGGCGATAAGACGTAAAGTTTTGTATCGTTACTATCTGTACAAAAATTGAATACCCTTTCACGAGATGATTTATTCGTTACCTATAATCATACCCCATGCGCTCTCCTTATCCAGGGCGAGACAACCATATTTTATTCGAACCGAACAAAGAACAAATTCAATGAATGGTCTCCCTAGAGAGCATCGCAATGCAGCTAGGCAAACGAAAGCAGAATTCCGCCAAGGCTCACTAAAGATGTTTCCCTTTACAGTTTGGCGGAGAGGCACGGGGCGGGGACAGCCGATCTTGGAGGTCGAGCGTGAAATTTTCAATTTAACAGGTTGAGACGTCGAGGCCAGAATTTTTCTGCACTTCTACCCTCTATCCCGCATCACTCCTCTCCGTTACTCTTCCCAGCCGTACCGTACCACGGGAAATTCTTTCCCATCACGATCCGGGAATCAGGGACCCTTGCGGGGGGACGGCGAGCGTCGTACGTGACGCCTTCTCGGAAGAAGCGACGGTAACGACGTACGTACATCCGCCCACCGGAGCCATCTAATCCTGCGAACGCGAGTCTGGTGAGTGGTAATACCGTGGGTGGCGGACCGCGGGCAAGATCTCGGCCAGATGCACATACATGCCACCTTTGCAAGAAACAATCCCCTTCCGATATCACGCGGAGTCGCGCCTAGGGGGTTGGCCACCGCCGCCACCTGGTCGCGCGTGTCAACACTCGGTGTGGACGCTCACCACGAGCGCACCCTGGAACCACCGCCGAAGAAATAAACCGCGAAGGTGGCCGATGAGGTGCGCACGGGTTCGAGCGAGCAACCACCCGGGCGGCCAGAGTACAAGAAGCAATTTAATATCGTCTTCGCGGCCGGAATAAAAATGCCGAAATAAATAGCCCCATATTCCCTCGCAGCATCTCGCCCCCCTCGACCTCGCACCCCCACTCCATCACGGTCCTCTGCCTAGCATTCCACGCGTCGGGACCGTGTACCAGGCACAATTTTTCTGCGGAATTGTGCGGATGTAATGCCGACCGGTTTTAGGAGCCGTTTGTCAATGTGCGGACTTCCGGTAATACGAATAGTTTCAGGGGACTGGCCTGAATTCGACATTTTGTTGTGAAACCGAATTCTGGCGCATTCGACTGAGAGGTGTATGTTTCTTGATCCATCAGTCGTGAGAAATTCAATGCGATGTTTAGATAGTTAATTTGAGTGCTATACGAAGTAGCTATTGGAGCACTACGCATTTAAGCCCCTATATTTAATGTATATTCATATGTTGATTTTTATTTCACCCTCGAGACTAACGAACGAAAGTAATTGGAGCCATTTTGAAACCCTTACGGATAAGTGGCACGCCAGAAGTAGGTATGGCCCATAGAAGGCGGTATGGAATTATTTATAAACGACGTTTACGACAATCTTGGGAATGATATTAAATATGGAGATACTCTAATCTTGATACCACGACAGTATCGGCTGATAATCATGTAGTAAGATGCCACGGGGTGAGAATGTGATGATTTTCCATTTCCTTTTTTGACATCCAAAAGTACATTTAATATAATAAACAAAATTGCAGACCCGATACGCAGAGACGTTCATGTGGGAGCTATATGGCGAGGTATTACTGATTTAAGTCCCGGAGATAAATGTATTACACGCTCCGACGTGTCGCTCATCATGATACGACGTCTTGGTTGGGTTTCGCGTGCCACCACATAATTGCTATGTGGTTGCGCTTGCGGCTGTGGCGCATGCCCTTATATTTATGTAGCGTACCCAGGTTGTATGAGAGAGTACATCTCGTTTCTACGGACTGGATTGCATAATAAATTCACCGTGTAATCATCCGCGGCAGCAAATCTTTGCAAACAGGTTGTCGTATCTTTTTTAAAAAAAATGTTCTGTCGGTTGCGGGCATGGAATTCAGGACTTCATTATAGACGATCGTTAACGTTGACCAAAAATGTATTAGAGTCCTGTAAAAGTATAACGTTTTCGAAGGTTCAAAAGGCGTTTAATAAATGTATACTCAAACTAACGAGTATAAGTAATAAATTCCTTCAAAGCCTTCCATTGATAGGCACAGAGTTTAAACGGGAAAGGATAAGGTTTAAGGACGATCTTTATGACAACCTTTGGTGTGAGTTTAAGTGCGATATCAATAGAAATAAATCGGTAGATATTCACGTGACGGATGACAATACGCGCACCAGCTTCCTCTATTAAGGTCCGAGGTAAGTACAAGCGTCGTAGATCGGTACCCGAAGGGACCCACGCGTGAATCATGCGCGAGGCGTCACTAGTTACCTACCTAGTTACCAGGGACAAACGTATCACGCTCCAACACGACACCCACTGCTATACAATATCCTGGTACCAGGAGCGCACGTTACCATGTAACCGCGTATACGTTGCAACGTATGCGCTGCCTTACATACGTACCTAGGCGCATACCTGTTACGTGCAACCGAGCGACGTAAATATGTATGGGACATGAATGCCCGAGCATCTACCACCCCGCGTGATCCAACCCGCTTGCAGATATCCGCCCCTGCGCTCTCCAAATCCCCGAATGTCGCACGATCTCCCGATGCAGCTCGCCTGCGTCCGCTTCCGGTAAAAAAAACCGTTACCGCTTCCGGCCTGCAGACAACGCCGTAACCGATCTCCCGGAAATACTTCCCCTTAAGGCCGTTCCGTTGCCAGATTTTGAAAATCGATTGCGCCTTCCCGACGAACCGGACCGGTATGATAGTTTCCAGTCGATTTATACCTGGAACTAGAGAGCGTCAATCTGCGAATCGAATCTTCGAACGGGTATCAAGTAATAATAGAGCTTTTTTGTGGAAACGAACACGATGAATTGTACATTACTCTCAAAATCCAGCTAGTTTCTGTCGGAAAACGTGGAAGTAATCCTAGAATTTATGAAAACATTTTTCAGGGATATGCCAGAAAAGTTCTTTATAATTTGATTCCAAGGAGGTGGATGAATGTTTCAAAGTTACCGCCGCGCAGTGTGGTTGCAGGAAAGGAGGCAGATACTCGTTCCGCAAAGTCGGATGTCCCAACTTTCCGCGTTTCTCGCGTTTCCTTTCGAACGGATCTTGCTTGCCAACGAATTTACATGTCTGATACGGGGACGATTCGCCGATGTATCCCAGTGGCCATTGTTTTCACGGTGCGGGTGGCCCGCACCTTGCAGCAGCAGGCGTACATTACTATCGCGCCGCATCCATTCGGGCGTCCCGCCCGTCTGAATATTCCCGTATGGAACCGAATTTCCATATACCATATATTTGTTCTCCCCTGCCCTCCTCCGTGCAATTTCTCGATATTAAAACGCGCCCGTATACGATGATCTGCCCGCACAAGGACCGTACACCCGCCATGAAGGAAAACGCTGGGCGAGAACGCCCAGTGAAAAGTGGATGGGAAAACGCGGTCGGGAAAGATCAGCAGAAAAGGAATCGGCAGTATATCATTGCTGCGATGGCAATAAAACCGCAAAGAGTGGCCGCGAAAACATTTCCAGGAATATTGCCAATTTTTCCTCTATACATGGCTGCCGCTCCTCTAGGAAATATGTATAATAACCCGAAGGAAATGTTTCCAATAAGAGTTTGAGCCTGCACACGTAATATTTGAACGTCATAAACGATTGAAAAGGAAATAGAGAGCAAAGGTGGAAAAAATGGGACGTGATGTATGTTCAGGAGCAAAACGAAGAAAATATCATAAAATCAATTCGCGTTCAGTGGGATAGAATATTTCATTGCACAGGAACTTAGTCCCGTATATCAAGTTACGGTTTAACGTAAGTTGTAAACGCTTGTTAGTACGCCATCTTTTCCAATCTGCGTAACTTGGATATGATTTCTCGTTTCCTCTACGTAAACTTGCAAGCGTTTTAAGATGTTGCAATATTGTTCAAAAACAGTTTTCTGAATATACGTTTTTTACAACGTGGTTCTTGGAATTATTTACACCGTACTGTACGGTTCTTCAAGTTGTGCACTGCATCTTGTATAAAGGGATTAAAGGATTTTCCTCACCCCTCATTCTCAAGGGCATGGCACGGCCATTATCTACATCGTACTCAATTAACGATTAAGAAGGTTATCCAAACCCCAATTCTCATTTGCGTCCAGGTGAACCGGAATGAATTCATCGTCTCATTTCCCTTCGTTATACAATCCTCACAAGCGATTCACGTGCCCTTAAGGTCTCATCCAGCGTAAGAGATAAGCGTACTTGTAACTGAGTGTGCGTAGATACGTGTGTATACTTAGGAAAATCTGAAAGAGTTGAGCACCTTTCTTCCCAATAGCCTGGGGTATTATTGTAAGCACAAAGCCACTTCTGCTCGGGTGGTAGATTAAATGGCAGACTGACTTCCGCGTACGAAAAATGAGGGGTGTCTTTTGGGTCACGTACTCGCATCTCTTCCCAATATACTACGTACGAGGGGTGTGGCTCATACGTGTGCGTAGCGCGTGTCGTGTGTCACGCGTCTGCGGCATGTGTATGCCGGAACTTGTGCTCATTTCTCCCCTTTCTTTTTTCCTGCCAATTCATCTGTACCTCTCTCGTACGCGACTGACTCTTCAACCCTCCGAGCCGCACCCCTTTGCATCGTCTCTTCCTGTGTTCCCATCGAGCACTCTTTCATTCATCGTGAGCGCCGCCGAAAATAATTTGGCAGTCGGTATATACAAATGTTATTTAATGTAGTATAACTTATTACACTTATCGCTGCATTTTGAAAATAGCGTAGTGCGGCATTTCTTGCAGCAAGTACTCGGAATAATTTTAAGTGTCAATTCGAAAGTATTCATGTTTCTTTGAATCAATAGCCGCATAAGATGACGTTAAGTTTTTAGAATCATTGATATGAAAATTTACGATTTTTTGAGAAAACCGCAAGAAAATTGTCCATACATTGCATTCCATCAAAAAAATGTTAGTTTCTTTTCAGCGTATGACAAGCCCGTCTTTTTTCTACCGATTTGAATCTGAAATTTTTATTTATTTGTTGTCCAATAAGGACGGGTAACACCGGTGGAGAAATAAAATGTTAGGTATCAAGTGCAGTAATGCGTCAGTGTGTGCGACGTACAGAGAGAGCTTTAATATACTGCCGTAAAGTTCAATGTGCGATGCATACATGCATTCGCATCCTTTATCGCCCCGTACCTGGCGTGGTGCACCCACGTGAACGCGTGGAGGAGAGATTGGCCCGTTGAGATTAGGTTCGTTTTGCTCGGTCCAATCTCGGGGTGCTTTCAACGGGAAAAATTCTAGATTCCCAGGATATTGCGTAAATGCGATTTCGTAATCGATTCGATTTGCAGACCTTGCATCGAAAGTTTTTCGTTCTTATACATATCTATCGATTTATACGAGCAAAAAGTTTAATGATTAAGATGTATAATATTAAATGTCGGTGGCAATGCATTTCGAAAATGAACAGCACATTTGTATCCAATTACTTATTTATCGCTGGTACTATTTATATTTTCTTCACTGCATTAATAAAAATCGATTAAAAATCGATTCAATCTATTCGGTTAATTGATTCGATCAACTGACGATGTCATAGATGATCCTGTTCGATCAACCTTTATCATTGTCTTAAGTATCGTTCGAATGAGAATCCATTCCGCAGAGAATTTTTAATGATAATTGTAACTAGATCGTAACACAGGAAAAGGGATGGCTTCCGAGAATTCGCTGGTTATTCTGATGGTTTTGTTGGAGTTACCGTCACTGTCAATCTCGGGAAATTAATATTCCAACAGAGAGATTCCCATAGGATTACTACGCAGCACAGGGTGATCTTCATCTCGTGTCCCATTTTAAACCTGGTGAATGCTTCATAGAATTGTACCGTAGGTAGCGCCCTGATGTACAGAGCGCATCAATAATTACTGTAATGGTCACACCGAGGCCATTCGCGTATTAACCTAGTAATATCACCGAGATGACAACGCGCACAGCTCTCAGATTTTCATGCTCTCGCATAGAAGTATTCAGCCCGACAGAAATTAAAAGGAGCTCTGCGGGGTTTCCTGTCTGCATAAATTTGCACAATAAACGAATCTTAAAGTTGTACCGCTTTAATACTCGACTCATACGATTCTGACTTTTTTAAATTTTTTACTAATTCCGCCACTTTCTTCGGAGATATTGTAATAAATAAAGGATGAGTTGGAAGAGTAACATAGAAGTTTGAACGCCGTCAGAAGTTCCTAGGGTTTACAAAAGGGAGCTGTAGATGTCCGATAAGCATGACACTAGAAGAAATCTATTAATATGAATATCACGCGATGAAATCTAAAGCGTGTGCAAACGATTGGGGTTCAATGCAATTTACGGTATTATTCTAAGAAGCTACAATTAAAATTGGTATTTGCTACCTATCCGTGACAAGATATGTCAAAAACACGATGTTTCATGGCCTACGGAGGAAACGCTAATTGTAGAAGGTGAGTACTTGAAATACTTACCAGTATCCGTATTCCCCGGCAGGAGAATCGCGTCGTCTCTGAACCAGGAAGTGACAGTAAGATGCTCCTTGACATCCTCGCGTGCTGTACAGGAGAGCACCGCGTTGCAGCCCGCCACAACCGGTACCCGATTTACTCTGACCTCGTAGCCGGGGACAGTAAGTACTGAAATGAGAAATCAATAATAAAGTAGACTCGAAATAGTTTATAAGCACACAAGCTCCGGTATAAAATTTTAGAGTGACCTTTACTCGAATACACGATAAAACGTAAATGGAGATGGAGAATATGGAAAATAAAATTTGTCTTTTGTTATGTAATAGAAAATATCTGTGCACGTATTGGATTTCAAAACTATACAGTAGGAATATAATTAACAAATTTTAACGTGGATGGATAAATGACATTGCCACAACTTAGTGTAGTAGATTTAATAATTAATACTTTCCATTTGTTAAAGGGTATAAATCGTTCGGTGATCGTTTTTCATTTCTAGATGGTTTAATATCGAAATTTAATTCAGGGATGAGATGAGATTCCAGGAATTATGAAAAGATGTCGGAAAAGAAATCTTGGTGGATTTGTTAATATCGAGGGTGGCAGGTGTGTCACCAGGATTGAATTAAAGGTGGAAGAGAGATGGCGACGGGAAACGTAACTCTCTTTCGACCGTTCGGTTCGTTCGGAGTCTTTAAATGTACCCGTTGATTCGCGTAAGGGATTAAATTTGGACCAAAATGAAAAAGAAAAATTTATTAACGTTGATGCTGTTGCATTAAAATTGATCACGTAATCAGAAAATTACAGTATGTATCCGATTCGAAATATTCCAGGAGCGTCTCGTCGACCTTGAGCATATAGTAATCGATTTGGAACGTTCTGGAACCTTGTAACCAACTCCCTATACAAAAAGTACACAACGATAATATACTTGTTGAACTCCCAAATTTCGGAGTCCGTCATGTGTCGGCGAGCGATATACAGACGCGACCATAACAACCAGACTAAAGGACTATTCTCGAATATTAACCGGTCGTTTTCCGTCGAACTCTTGACCCTGCTTTTCTTCTGCTCACTTATTACCAAGCCCTTCAAGTAAAACATTGTTTTTCTTTGGCAAATCGATAACCGTTCAAAACCGTCTTTGACCAGCCTTTTGAGATAGGCGCAGTTCATTTTAATCTTAAAAATAAAAGGATCCCCACATTCTAGAATTTGGCTGAAAAAATGTCTGTATTTAATCCAACATCGTATATTCATAAATATCGATACAGTAAAAAGAAAACGCAATAAATACAACCGCGACGTAATCACGTTGGTCATCCTTTGATGCTGTGGAATTATTTGCCAAGCACGGCTGCAACGATCCAGCAACGAAATATCTAGTCGTAAAATTTCCGTTCGCCACCCGAACCCAAATATTTGCCGCGACAGAAACGTTCGCTCAAGTCAGCCAAATAATTTAGCAGCCACACAGAAATAACATTTTTCTTCCGACTTGAAATACACGCACACTTGCTTTTATTTTCGGCGATATATTCGAAAGTTCGGTCGCGGATTCGGTTCTGCCGACCCTGCGAGGACGTCTTCTTCCCCCGCCAAAGGTTCAACCGGTAAACGTAATAAAAGTTGGCGCTCGGAGGCGAGAAATGGCTTTCTCGATAAGTCGAACGGCTCCTTCCGAGACGAGGAGGCGAAGCAGACGTTCATCGCAAAGTACCCGAGAAAGTAGATACCCCGGTGGCGGTGGCGGGCACAGGAGGGGTGGAGCGCTGGGGTTGCATCGGGGTGCACCCAGGTTGCAACGGAACCGTGAAGAGGAAGACGATCGCGCGATGTGGGGGCCCTCTTCTCGGGAATTGCATCGTTCCGCCACTCGGACGGAACGTCGAAAATTGGAACTATCGGCGCGCCGAGCGTCGGATATGGATGCGCGCGCGCTCGTGATGATGAAATTGGGAATAGACGGACCGTGAACTCAACGAAATGTGCAAATGAGGCCAATATTCGCGAATCCACGCCAGTCACCCACTGGCAACGATATTTCTCGGGTCTGTGCTGCACCTCTTGCGGGTTCGCCCTCGGGATTCTTAGGAATCTTTTGAATTAACGTTTGCCCATCCCCTTCGGGGTGAGCCGCCCCTGCGACCCTTTTCATCCTCGATCGCTCGTTTGACACGCCCAGAGATTTATCCCACTCCGCTTTGACGCCCATTTTTCCCGCTCAGCTTCCGTCATCGGTTGATCCGGCCACGTCGCTTCTTCTTCTTCTAGCCTTTTAACGGAACGTCACACGTTTGGACGATTTCACGTCTATGCGTAGTTGGAAATGCGATGCGATGGAAGCTCGGAGATTTTCCTTGACGAATTTATTCGGGTTTTCCTTTCCAAGCCAATATCCCGGACCACGTAGCTGATCGAATTTTTATATTAGATATTGGAATTTAGAATTCAAGTAAACGTACTTGCTGACATAAATTATGCTGATCACGTTTTAGTTTAAAGCTGATGGTCGTTTATTAGTTCGTTTCTGCCTATGTAATGAAACTTTCGTAACGGGATTTGAAGCACTTAATGGAGATATCAGAAATGGAAAAGAACGTTCCCCCTAATTTGGGGTTGTAGGTTTAAGAAATGTCATTAGTTTTCGGATCGGACTCGTCTGGGATTTTATAGAGGCCCATCAATATCAGAATGTTATCAAAGCATGCCGAGGAAGTAGTTGGAACACGAGAGTTCTCGATACCGCTGATCTTCACGTCGTAAGACATAATCGTGTCAATTTTCAATCAGTTTAATCCGTTTCTTGAAAGACCGACGTCCCACAAATTCACCCTCTCCCAGACGTTAATCCCACATAACACCCAGTCGCGTTCACGGCTTCTCCTCCCTTCTAGTGTCTGATTGTATTTCTGGTAAGATTACCTACTACAGGATTATACGTACACTCATAATTCAACGTTAACAAAATAATGCACCAATAAAAGTTTATAGAAATTGTCAACGAATAAATTGTACAAAATACCACAAGTCATAATGATTGTTAAGTATCGTGCCATTGCATCCTCCAGGATAAATAGTATCGAAATACGAATGGAGGGTCAGCGATCACCGAGGGACGCGACGGCGCGCATTGATCTTGCAACGAGTACATTCTTTTTAAGGATCCCGCAGTTTTAATTAAATCCTGTACCGCCTCTCGTGGCCCGCTCAGTAGAAGATAGTGGCATAATCAAGATTCCACTTCGAGCACGTACACTTAACTCTGCGCTTTCGCTCGGAGAAGGAGCGGAGAATCCAGGGGGACACGGGGACCGAAAAGAGAGAAAGCGGGGCCGAGGGATGGCCGGACGAGGAGCGGACGGTGTACTCCTGGAATTGAATATTTCACTCTCTCCTCCTCGCCCAATTTTGCGCCCAGCCGCGCTTGCGAGACTCGAGTCTTTAAAAGCGTTTCAATGTCGAAGTCCCCTTTTCTGGAAAAACATAAATCTTCACGCTTCGTGGTTTTAGGGAATGAGCGGGAACCAAGGTCCGCGAGCCGGGACTTTGGCGGCCGGGGAGGAATAAAACTTCCCGTCTTACAGCGCGTCGGGTCTGATAAATAGAAGCGGAAACCTCGCGGCCATTACCATTACGTGAAAGCGGAGCCCGTTTTGGCACGAGTTTTGAAGGCTATTTCTGACTCCGTTACCGGAGCGAGTCGTAAGACGTAATCGTGTCAAAACGAGAAAATCGTATCGAATTCTCGTCTGAATGGGCTATTCTTATCAAGAGGACTCCTCACGTTTTCTGCATAGGTGACGTTTCAATACACCTGCTATTACATACTGATAGATATATCGAATCGATTCCTTGTGCTTTCAAACGTCAGTTTCGACGTACCGGGAATACGATGCGTCGTCATGAGGGAGTTCTTACCCCGAGAAAAAAATAATTCATTGTACCAAAGAAATATCTTGTTAATTCAAAAAGTAATTATTTCACTCAAATAAACTCAAAGTAATTGTCACACTTCCGAAGAAATGTTGCATCCGATTTATTCAAGTTTACTTGAGTGAAATAGTTATTCTTTGAATGAACGGAATATTTCTTTGGTTCAGTGAAAATTTCTCTCAATGTAGTAAGCACAAAGTGAGATCCGAAAATTTCTTAAATGCGGCGCTCTTTGAGGGTGCTGTAGAAAAATAACGGAGGTTAAAAAAGTTAAGGAAGATGGTTTAATAATCATTTCCGATGGTCCGCTTTGGAATGGTCTAAGTAAGGAATGTACATTATTAATTGAATCGTGGAAGAAAAAAACATTCGGCCCTTTGATCGGATTTATTCGAGAGTAATGAATGGAAAAGGGAACGTCTTAGATTAGGGTATTAATTCATAACTACGGAGAAAAGTACGTTTTGTACCTTGAAAGCCTCGTTAAGGATGACTCCATAATTGCAAGAAGTAACATGTAATTGCATTAAAACGTGAATAACTTGACGGCCAAGTGCCATTGAATGTGGTAATATGCGTTCCGTTTCGTACTTGACAATTCACAGTGTACTTAATACATAATAAGATTGTCTTCTCTTTGCCCTAAGTTATGCAAGAAAGCGTCGAGAAGCGGATCGGGGAAAACGTTACCGACTGTTTAGTACTCGGTTTGTTCGGTTGGCGTTCCCCTCGGGATATTCCTTCCCCGTCTCACTTTTCTTTCCTCTTTAATGGGCTTGCCAACGTCAGAAACGCTAAATGCTTTTATGGTCGCACGGCTACGCCGATAAAATTGCCTTTTTTCTCTTTTCGCATCCGCGGTACGATTCAATGGGATTCAATTCTGGTCGGTAATATTCCGATCGTTATCCCGAGACGAATAGAAGCTACCCTCGAGTCTTACATAAAGCAATTATCCTGTGCAGATAATAGAGGGTTTCGACTGACGGACAGGGACGATTGGCTTAAGCGTTGCTTCTTAACGTGGCTTCAATAGTTTTATAAAGCTCAATGCAGAAGCTCATCGACTTTTTTTTTACAAGAACCTCTCAAGTTAAACACTCCGTATTGTTAAATGCTGCAAATATTTATCTATATTACACGTGATGAAAAGTTTAATCGGGAAAAGATACGTATTGTACCATTTTAACAGCGGTAACTAACGCCCTTGGATATTGTGTAGCGAACAAAATATCCGATGGTGCCAATTAAAATGTGGCATTACGCTTTGCGTTTGCAGTCTGTCAAAGCTGCTAATTAAAAAGTCTGACTTGTTATCACGGACGTTCCTGTCGGGGTTATGATCTGGCTTTATAGTCACATCTCATGATTCACAGAGCAAACGATTTTACTTTATTCGGCAGATATCTATGCGTAAAATTTCACGGAGAGAAGAAACACTATCATTAATCCTGCTCGACGTGAGTTTTCATATCGATTCGAGTGATGGGCCTCAGCTTCAATTCAGCATTATGTATTTCCCAGAAAATACAATGGCAAGGTAATTAAATAGCACTATAACGAGCACATCTCTTCAATAACTACGCTTAAAGTAGCCAACGGAGTATTGCCTTTCAGTAAAAACGAGGATTGTTCTCGGCATGCGTATCTAACTAAAAACAACCTCGTTATACAACATATCGTATCGTTAGCTTGTATATGCTAGTTTGTTGACAAAGTATCGAGCTGTTATATTCTAATTTGAATGTTCTAGTGGTCTCTTTAATTTTTGTTCGCCTTCCCTCTCATAATGTATTGACTTGCAGATCATAAATTGATTATCGTACCGTTTTCAAAGCTGCATATGTGTTTGATGTCTATTTTTAAAGGTAGATAAATGGATGATGTTGACATAGGGTGGATCAATTTCTAGTTTATAATATCTGCTAGCAATCCCCATAAAATTAGTTTTTTTATGGAATACTATGAATCGGTCTACGTATAACCTGTAACAAATAACCGTTCGAAAGTCATCTTAAAAATATATCGTTTTAGAGATTTCATGAGGTTTTGGTGTTAACCCACGAAAAATGATTTAAAGTTTAGAAAGACGCATGGCTTATTCCAACTTTCAATCATACTTCTTTTGACCGTGATGTTTTAACCGTTAGATTTGAAATAGTCAGTCCCGCTTTATCGTCCATTAAAAACAAAAAAGATTACGATAAAAGAGGAACCCCTCAATGACCCAATCGACTCGGCGAACTCTTTTCGCCGATCGTTTAGGTAAGTCCTTCGGCACCCGAAGAAGTCGTAAACTTTTGATCGAACTCATCTTCGGGAAGTGCTGATCTGCACTTCACGAACGCAATGCCGAATCGCGTCCTCTTGCGAAATTCGATTGGCCCTTCGTCGGGTAGGTCCTTTTCAGGGAACGAATGAGAAGAGGAGAAGCGTGGTTGGTGATTCATTCTGGGATTTTATCGCCGGTAAATTGCACCCTCCTCGGGTTGGTAGGCGAGAAGGGCGCTACCATAAGAATGCGCAAACGGAGCCGCTCGGTATCGCACCTCGTTCCCAGACGAGCGCGGTGAATAGTTCCAATATGACGACTTTTTCGGGAAAATCAATTTTCTTTCTCGAGAAGACCCTGGAGGCGCTGGGTAGAGGGAAATACGTTCTATAAATATTGCGGCAATTCTGCCGGGCTCTATCGTATTTCTCCAGGCGTCTGGGGACTCACTTTGCGTCGTATTGTTTTTTTACAGAGACGGGAAGTCGGGGCTAAACAGTATTCAGAATGCAGCAATCGAAGTACCTGGCACTATAAAAAATGTAATATCTCAGAAATATCCGAGACGAGGGAGAAAAAATGTACACGCGCGGGGAAGGTTGGATGGAAGGGAGAGTTTCTCACGAGCTGATACGAAAGTCCGAGGGTTGGTATCATCCCGATCCCTCCCTGGGTGCTCTCGAGCGGTGCGCCACGCACTCGAGAGGACTTCGTGGAGGCCGTGGATGAAGTGGCAGGCGGTATTCTGGTAGAAGAAGTGGGTGCACCCAGCTCTAGCGAGAGGGTCACCTCGAAGGGGTTAGACTCTGTAAAGAAGGGCGACAATGACACTCCCTTCGGAAATAGTTCTTTGGCGGGTCGAGGAGGAGCCACCGATGTAATTTCAGATAACTTTTCGTCCGCTTTCAAGTAGAGGTCAGCTGGGCTCCGAGCTTCACCTTGATGGAGTCTCCACTTCGAAGCAAACGAGGGAAGTCCTGGTTTGGGTTTGCTTAATTACGTGTGTCTTTTAAGAGTCGTCGCGTTACCTAAGTACCCACGAAAGAGAAGTACATTAGAAACGAAGTATTCAACCGTAAGGACAGCTGCGGTATTCCGGCTTTCGCATGGAGTAATTGAACATATTCGCAAGGGTTCTTTAACTCAATTTAACTTGTTAACCGGGGCTTTTGCAAACGCGTACTGTAACAACGAATTAACTCGTAATTCCTGGTTAAAAGGTTAAAACGTTTGCAAGCTGATTTGTAAACACTGAAATCGGGCAATGCCTGTAGCTACACTTTTTTCGTCTTCTTTAACAAAATGTTCCGGTTATCTACACGAATCTGTAGTTACGGTAATTTGTTATCAGACTACATCGCCGAAGTTTGAAGAGAAATATAAGAACCCTTAATGCACAGAGGATAAAGTATTTAAACCGTTTTAATAGAAAAAAAGTGACTACAACAAAATGAAATCGAAACTCCTCTCACGTAAACAAAAATTTGTTGACGACCTCCTCTTGGTTCTTCGGGTTACCTCAAAATAATTTGCTAACCCTCATCAAACTAATTCGGATAAATTCTAACGATGTCCATTTTAGAGAATTCAATCTTCTCGTATATGCTCGTGTATTTAGTAACGCATGCTAAGAATTTATAATGCTTCATACTTACGTGCGCATAGGCACGAGAAAGATGTCCCTTTGCAGAGCTCTCGCGTAACAGCGTTTACTCGATAAAAAAGTGACAGATATGGAAATATATCAAGTCGCGAGGGAAAAGGGGCGTGGCTCGCTCGCAAGAGATGAAATCCTGATGAATGCCGGGTCACTCGTTTATATAATGAAACGCGTAATTACTCGCTGCCAGGCCATATTTTAATGAACGGCCAACTCTCCTGGAAGCGCCTCGGGGCTGGTTATAGGGTGTCGTTGCTCCCGGTACCGTGGCTGGGGCTCGAGACTTTAGAAACGACGCAACTTCTTTCGGAAGGCAGCGGCAGCGAAGTACGGGGGCGGGGACTCGGAGGTGGAAAAGAGAGCGAGACGAAGAGGAAGTTTCGGGGCTTCATAGTCGACAGGACGCAGTCGCTACACTTTGCGGCTTCCGTCGCGGCAAAGTTGCCGGCTTGCGGTTCGAATTTCGCCGGTGAGCATCCTTCTTTCACGAAGACCACGCGAGGAACTCCCGCAAGAGGCACCCCCGAGAAAGTTTGACCCCGAGACGGAGACGGTCCATCTGGAAATTCGAATACCGTTGGGGGGATCGATAAGTGCCCCCGGAAGAACTCACAAGAAATTGATAAGACCTTTTCTAGATCGACGCGTACGGGGGAGAGACGAGGATTGATTCACCACGCAGAGGGATGCTCGCCCAGATGAGAGCCGCATAAAACCAACCGCAGGAAAGTAACTCGGGGTGAAAAGTACCCCGAATAAATAACCCCGTGGTATTAACGCTAAAAGGGTATTTACTTCGTTCTTGGAACGACGACTAATTATAACCGCTCCTCCGAGCGAGTTATGAAAGGACTTCGTGTCCTGCTCCGGCTTATTTCTGTGTCCTTACTTCGAAACAGGAGTTTCATTGACCCGAGGAAGATTGAACGAGCTATTTAACAAGCTGCGGTCGATGTGAAGATCGGGGGAATGCGGAGACGCTGCTATTCCAATTAGTTAGTCGGGAAATTGACCGAAGCGCGAAATAATTATAATTAATTAAGGATATATTTTTCTGGCCCTTTTGTTGTACTAAATTTTTTGCGAATAAAATGGATTTTACGCCGAAATCCGGAATAAAATGAACATTGAAACTGCGGACTATTCGATGTTATTAATGTATTCACTGGATTGTTCGCGGACGTGAGAAATTAGACATTCACGTTTCCATGTTCGAGAGACTCGTTGACGTACTTCTTTTGGGGTGGATTTAGGCTCCAAGGGATGGAAAGGGAAAAAACCGCGGATTTGGGAAATATAAAACGTTTTTACTAAAACCCTCCACCTCGAGCTTCAGCTCCGATCTAGTTATTTGCCGTAAAGGCTTACCCGGTGACAGTAAAGCGAAGGATTAAGAGAAGGCAGAGTATATAGCATTCACGGAGGGCTTAAAATGAGCCATTTAAATGGTGGCTCACGTCGTACCGCCTGGATAAGTTTAGTCCAGGCAGCATTGTCGGTCTATATATTGTTCGACGATATTCCTGTCGATTGGCGAAAACAAACGGAATTCATTCGATAAAGAAACTCTATTGTTCATTTTTCTGTCGCGAGCTAATAGTGCTCCTTAAAGTGCTCCAAAATTAAATTAATATTGCATTTCGCATTATTATAATTATCTATGAAGTAATTCATTTTGAACATTCATTCGTCCTTTATTCACCGTAATATCACTTCATAGCATTTTTATCGCTACAGCTAATAAAGAAGCAAAGTAGAAATCAATATGTCTTACGTTTTCAATATCGTGAAGCTATTTTCTCGGCAGTCGTTCTGAACATAACAACTATTAAATCTTCAGAACAGTTGGCTCAATGTCGACACTTTTAAAGTGACGTAGGGAGTTGATTATTTTAATTTTCTCCGTTTCTTACGTATATATCGCATTCCAAGTGCGGTATATTATGTAGAGAAGCGGGCACGAATGCCTTCCGAACATACATTGGTGACATCATATCCGCAATAAAGGCATTTATGTCCGCCAGGGTACATATAAAATTCATGGAAATATATCGTGGTTAAATGAAGGTTTTCCTACGTGGCAAAATGTCATGGTAGGATCGAGTTCAGATATTTACACCTTAAAAACTGTACATCATCCTATCTGTTAAAAAAAGGTGAAAAGTCATCCACGAAAAACTCACCTGCTCGTAAAGTGACCTCCCTGGATAGAACCGTCCCAACGGAACTAGTGGCTCGACATCTGTACCGTGCATTATGCACTTCTGCCCGGAAATCCTGAGCCAGGAATGGCGGAAAGTAGAGAGTGCCATTACCCAGAAGTTGCCTGAAACACGCAACCGAAGAAATATTAGACGGGAAATTCTGCCACGACTTCGTAGTCGAAGACGGTCAAAAGTATGACGACCAAAGGTCTTGCGAATCATGATGTCAAAGAGAGAGCCTGTGAAGAACAGTATATTGATGTGAAAACCTATCAAAGCGCTTTGAGACAGAGACGAACCAAACCGTGAAATAAAAACCCCATCCCTTTAGTCTATGTTAACCTCGAAAACAATACACGTCGGCATTCGAAACTGGACGCTCACGTATTCCGGATATCCAGCGTTTCTCGTTAAAAAAGATATCCGTCAGCAGTGTGGGTGCGTATTCTGCGGAAACGTTTTCGATAGTACGCGTGAACGCAACACCGCACGTAAAGCTCTGTCGCGTCAAACATCTCTGTACTTCACCCCACGTAGCGCGATTATTTTACAGTCTCTCGTTCGCTTCGTTCACAATTCTATGTGTTCAAACCTATAGACAGGGAAAGGGGCTTAGTATTTGACGTCACTCGATGGGTATTCACCATCCAGTCGGATAGATTGAATATTGTAACGTCTGGACCGTGGATCAACAGAAAACCACAAAAACATCGATAAGTGCAAAATTTTATTGATAGTAGATTTATTATAAAATGGTAACCCGTTGAGTGGTAGATGAAGTCTCTATAGGTTCAAAGAAAAGACCAGACAATGTGCAAATTTTGATTTAATCAATTAAGGTGCAATCAATTTTATCAGGCAATTTAATCATGGCTCAGGGAGAGTGTTAAAACTGCAATTCAGCAATCCTGGCACAATGAAAAGTTTGATCATAGTTTTAATCGAACCACTAAACAAGTGCCGGGATAGAATTTTTTACAAGACATCGGAAGAAAATGGTGCCACTTTTGGTGAATCATGACAACAAACGTGCCCTACGAAGAGGAGCACCGTGTTAGATCGAACATGCAAATCCGTGACAACAGTATGTGACAAACTATCGCAATGTTTCGGACGGAAAAAAAATCGGCAAAAGAGATCGGTACGAAAAAAAGCGCTTGCAAACGATTTAACAGCCACGCCCAGTAAATTTGTGGCTGTGCAGCGGAGCCGTCCGTTCGATCCCGTGAGTTGCACGCTTCTTTCATTAAAACGGAACGGACACGTCCGGCGCGGCAGGAAATTAAACGTAACATCCTGGAACGCACAAATCTCTCTCCTACAGGACGAGATAGCTTCCGCCTGCATATGAAGCCGATGTTTGCGAGGTCGTTTGCGGAATTGAAAGAACCAGGAAGAAGCGAGATGGGGCTCGGGATGACCGCATCTTGGCTGACAAAAGAGACCAGGAAAAACGGGCGGGCTCCTTCCGCCGGAAATTACGCGCGATTACGGACGATCGGATCCGATTGGGGCGCGCGGTTGGACGAGAAAACGGAAGAGGTCCTCGGTGGACTTTGGCGGCGGAACTAAGTGAAATTACGCGAATCCGTTGGATAAGCCAAGTCCGAAGGGAACCGGAAGTACAGTAAACCCTGTCGATAGATGGAGAAAAGAGAGGGACGCCTCTTCCTTAACCCACGCATTGCCATCTTTTTCTCCCCCGACCTCATCTCGCGTTCCACCCGTAAAGAGAGGTCTAAATGGAAAAGTTTGAACGGACGACATCGGTCGACCCTTCGGTAGGGAACGTTCCAAAGGATAGTCTCTCTATCCACTACGTGGAAGACTCGAAGCGTTCACCAAAGTGAATTTTCGAAGGTTAAACGCAAATTTCCTGGCGACCCAAGGATCCGTATTACTAAAATCTCGCGTAACTCGTAACCGGAAGGGAACGGTTTCGATGGATTACAACTAGCATCTTGTCTGCGACCAATCAGTCTCTCTTGGAAACTTCAAATTACGGTTGATAACGACTGTCATGTTCTATCGGTTAATGTTAACAAATTGTCGTTCAAAATCGTAATATACGATTTATGCATCTATTCGGCAAATATCCGACTTTCTGGTATGACGTCTTTGCATCCTATTTCGGTACAAGGGTCGACTTATCCTGTCGATTTTTTAAGATTAAAGGCAAATCCAGACGCGCGCGGTGCTGGTCGCAGCTGGCATGGTCACGTCTGGACCCGGAGAACGACCGAGAAAGTTTCGAAGGTTTACGTCCACCGTTTTCCGTCGTCTGCAGGGGGTGATGCATGCGACGGTCCAATAGTTCCTCTATCTACTCCGGAAGACGTGTCGAGTGGCCGGGAGTCAATTTTCGTAGGTAAAGGCAAATGCGACCGGAGGGTGCGGATTGTAGCTGCTAAGGTCGTGCCAAACCCTCCCCCGACTCGACCCCGCATATCCCACATTCGGGATTCGTACTTCCCCATTCCGGCCAGCTCGAATCCATCGGGCCGGGTGGTAGGGCGAAAGGGGGCTACGTCTTTCCAAGGATAGAAGATGGCGACGTGGCTGACGTTAAACGTCCGCCGTCGGGCGGAAAAGGGGCGGCCGAGGGCTAAGGCACGTTTCGATTAACAGGAGGAAATGGTTTCCGCAGGTGTGGTGGTCGGATTGTCGGTCGACGTGCGACCTTATCGGCTCTGAAGATTTTAGACCCCGAGGAAACATCTCTGGTGACGCTCTCGCTTATTGCCGATCCCCCTATTCCCGAGGGAAGTATGGTTATTGAGATTGGGTCTGAAAGCCATTAAGGATATTTTTTATCCGGAACCCTGATCAGAAGAAAATTAGAACGTCTACGTAGGGAACGATTGGAACAATATTGACAATGCGGGTATGTGTAATATTTTCGGGAAGGTAGACAAAAATAAAGCTGTAAAGGTGTACATGTATAGGCCTTCTAGTCCCTTTTCATTTTAATTCTTATTTTTCGGAATAATAGACACATTTCATTAATGGTAGATAGTGAATTAGTTTGGATTAGTTTTGATGGAAATGTCGGTCCACGAAGATTGATTCTTTTAATCGAAAATAATAAGAGACCGTGTTTCGACTACTGCTCTGTAGTTACGTTAATTCGTCTCGAAGAAGTACATTACGCTTCATACATATGTAATATTTCTTCCCCCGAACATCTAACTCCGCTATAACGCTAACGTAACATCTCTTTATGTACTGCACAGAATTTCGACTGTGAAGTTCCTCCATGCAAGTTCCACCAGTTTCACCGAACTTTCGGAGCGCGGGTAGTTTACCTCATCGTGCCATTTGCTTTATTCACTTTTCCTGCATGTAATTAATTTGTTGAACACGCTCCGATCGATGTACCGAGAATCGTTTGAAGTGTTTGCCAAGAGGGCAACGATAGAAGTTATATCTCGCAAAATATTTACTTAAAAAATTATAGTTGAAGAAGCTGCAAGAACTGGCCGTCCGGTTAGCCGCCTCCGGGCGTTTAAGAGACGACTCGCTATCCTGTAAGGAACAACGCCGTAGTCGGGTAAATATTTTCTTACAATCTGCCTCCACTCTGGTCTTTTTCGACCGTAATTACGGGACTCCGAGCCAGCCTCGGCTGGGGAAGGAGCTTTTCTCCTCTCGCAAAAATATGTTAAACGAGATCTGCAAAAGTCGTTGAAGGCTAAGCACCGGCGACCCCTCTGATGGCCGCATAAGATTACCGTGCGGAAGGAGAGGAAGTCACTCCATTTGCTCGGGTCTAAAAAGGAAGGAGATTCGAGATCTCGAGAGTACCAACCGTAGTCCCGGCACCGCGGTCACCGATCTCTGATCCGGACTGGTGATCCAGGCCACGTGAGGTGTCGGACTACCGTGAGCGGAGCAGCTCAGCTGCGAGCCCGTCGTGTTCGAGAAGACCAGGGTGCTCGGCGGCTCCAGAATGAACACCGGTCCTTGCTGGCCCAGCACCTGCACGCAGCTGCATGCTGAAATTAACAGAAATTCGTATTTATTAAAAGACGCAAATATTATATCTAAAAGATGAGCATTGAAGTCGCCTAATTATATAGTTTATTAAAGTCATGTGCCCCGGCGTACATAAACGCCTTCCTTACGAATATTCTACTACTAGGGTACAAAGTCACATGAGTTTCATACGAAAATGCCAAACCTTTAAAATATCCCACCCTTTATACAATTATAAAAAAAGCGGGTGCAGTTTGACCGTGCGTCCCCAATGTCAGGAATTAACTATAGGTATTATTTAATACCTTAACTCAGATGAAATTGTTCTGCACTTTGAAGGAAGACGAGATAACAGAGATATAGGTACTCAATTAGAGATAGTACGTTGCCAAGGTAGCAAACGACCTCGCTTACGTGGACGGAGTTTGCGAAGAGACGGTTTCACGATCGTGCAGATCGATTCTCGTTACGGCGGCAGAGAGTATCAGAAATAATTCATCGTTTGAATTATTTAGTTGACATATCCTGTCTCTTGCCCTCCCTCCTGGCACGACCCGGTGCTCTCTGGAAATCGGATTTGACTGGTCCAGGTCATGAGCAACTGGGTAGCATCTACTTTTACAGCATGGAATTAACAACGAATTGTTTGATGGTGAAGTCTAAGATTTGAAATCAGCGCATTGAAAAATATATTATTTAATATCGTTAGATATAACTGGTAAAAAATGGCACATCTCGGTATTTTAGGGATCTCCTCCACTCCTCACTAATCCCTCGGGTTCTGGCAGTTTCTGAAGTTAAGCATCACCGTCCTCGATCAATATTTTGATAGGTCCTCAGATATGTCGTCGTTGAGTTTTGGTGGTTTCCGTTGAATTCTCTCGAGGTAATTTTTCAAGTAACTATTCATAATTGTGGTTTATTTTATCGAATAATTTAAAGCTGAACAGTTACCTTAATATAGATAAGTTGCAAAGATGTGAATTTTCCCATAATATATAACAAGTTAATTTTTCGATCAAACTAATTACTCGAAGTTATATGCGCGATATCGGAAAACCAAAGATTGCTACATGTAAAATGAATTGTAATAAGTGTAGCAGTCTTTAAATTGGCTTGTTTCGCTGCAGTAAATCGCTAACGAGAGATCGTTGAAAATTGTTAATTGTAGTCGTTTATATGCGGAGCGCCCGGTATTATTTAGGCTATGGTCAGCCTGCGTGAATTATTAACAATTTAGTCTGAAAGCAGTACATTAACGCTGCGATAATGTCGACTCCCTGTATCAGGAGGGGTTGCCGTATTTGATACATGACTAAATTATTAGTAACGTGGTCATATGCTGGGTCATTATTTCACGAGAAGTGCAGTTTTAAATGTGAATTATACCTACAAAAATGTCTCGTTATTGTACCTAGGGGCATGACTCCGTGCATTTGATTCAATACGTGATACAATAATAACACTGAAGGAGCAATCGCGAGAATTGCCCTGTATCCATTCCAGAGACACTTCAGATATTCTCTGAAAGTCCGACTGATATGTCTATTTCACCTATTAAATTACTGTACAGTCATAAACTTTTCCCTCGGAGCTCTTCGAATTTACTTTATACTTTTGAAAAGCTGTACCCCCGGGAATTCCGCTCAAGTTTAGCAGGCGTACCGACGACTTCCGTCAAAGGTTAACCCGTCAACTTTTCTTGCTTTCTCTATTTCTGTTTCTCTCTCTCCCTCTCTCTCTCGACCCCTGTTTTATTCGGTCGCTCAAAGTCCTGCAAAGCAAGACGCGACTTTCTCGGGAAAGCGCTTTCGCATCCGGAAGCGTACTTACGTCGCCCCATTGTATCCTTTGAGAGTATCCGGAAGTTGATGCCAGGAATGGAAAAAAAAACGCTTCAGCGATTCCGCGATTCTTCCGTTTCCCTCTCTTTAGAAACGACGTTTCCGACATTCGGGACATCGCGACGGCAACGCCGCTCGCGGATCGTGTGTGCCCGACGATAAGGGCAATAACCGGCGGGAAATGCACGATTCATGGATCGTGCAGCGTTAACAGAAAATTGGTCCGCGCGTAAAAACTAATTCACAAGAGCTTCAATTTAGATAACTGGCGCTATCAACGATTCAATTTCGCCGAATTGGGTCACCCGCGAGATCGGTTACCCCTGCCACGGCTTTAATTATAAAAGTGTCTTTCTTAAGGACTCGACCATTTTGCCCAATATTTTTCACGTCGACGTCTACAACGAGGTCCCGTAATGTCCGAATGTTCGATCTGTTATTTGTAAACCTGCCCAATTCTACATTTAAATCCATCAATTTTTAACCTTTAAACATTACACGTATCGGCAATCGTTGCTTTTGTGATAACACCCTTATTTAAGCGAGAGCTTACAATAATAAAATAAAAGTGCTGGCAGGTACATACAAGTATCCTGGATGTATCGTATGATATTTATTGCCGATTACGTTATTCGTTATCGGACAAGAGGGAAACTTCGATGCACCCGTTAAATATTTTCCTTCCTAGGAGAATAATTAAGGATAAAGCCGTCATATAACGCTCACTTATACAGAATGGCAACTATTTGATCAGGCAATGCGGCTGCTCTATCCGAGAGAGGAAGAATCGAGGAAGAGGCACGTAAATCGGAAGAAAAATGGCCGAGAGTGGCCGTCGTTGCATCGCGTCGCCTTGCCCGGATGTGCCGCAGAGGCGAGACAGGGCCGGAAGCTATTGCAGAGAGTCCGGTGGACCGGTGTCGAGCAGTGACGTCACGCGTCAGCCAGCGAAATCCGTCGATCGATCGCGCTTCGCTTCGCACGCGTGCACACGTTCAGGTGATACACACGTACGCGCGGCTCGATCTGTCCGCTGCAATTTCACTCCTCGTTCGCCCCTACCTACACCTCTCTAAGCCCAGCCAGTCGCTGATTCCGACCAACGAGCGGAAATTAGAAATTGCGTAATTTATCGAGATTCGAAATACGCTCGAATGTGTACGTGCAGTTCGTGGCCACGTCGTCTCGCGCTCCATCGGTAACGAAGATTCCTCGCTCGATAAAACTCGCTGGGAGCAGGTTCGCGACCGGGTAGGCATCTACTCTACGCGGGAAGAGAGCCCGAGAATTCCGAAGTTCTCGTAAATACAGTCGTGTTGTCAAGAGTGACGAAGAGGTTACGAGAGAGCGCGGCGTCGTCATCTTTGGTCTTTGCCGGATGGAATCTCTCCGGTTCGGAACCGGGAAACACCGACGACTCCGAACGTTGGAGAGCACATAGCTTTATGTAGCAATGGGAAGGAGGCTCACGGTAATGTATACTCCGGGAAAGAGGGTCCTGGTAAACTAATTCGATGCCCAAACAACGCGAAGGTGAGTGTTATGCTTTGAGCGCCCTTAAAGCAGATGTTTATTCTGGTGGGACAGGAAAGTTAAATCGGTTTGATCATAGAAACGTATTCGCGTAACTTCTCTTTTCTAAAATCACACGTTTGTGCATCTAGGTAAGGCAGGGAGTCTAATGCATTGATGAAAGTAGATGACATTAAAAAGAAGTCAGTTTATACTTTGGGATGAGTAATCGCAGATAAGTATAATTAAAATTAGCCCCAAAGCCGGTGACTTATTTGCACAAGCTGAGCTCACTGATAAATTAATTTGATTAAGTAATTTATACATGGATTTAACGGAAATGCTTTATTTCGATTTAATTTAAATTTTGCCGTGGATTCCATGCTATTGTGGTTTCATGTCCTCGTCAGAATGAGTTACTCGTAAACATTTGATTAAAATAATACCGACAAATATAATTTGTTATTAATGCCGGTCGTCCTAGATTCACGTATGAAGGCTGAAAACGTCGTCGGAAATTTCGAAATTCTCATAAATATAGGCGTGCCGAAATTCACAAAAGTAAGGCGGCGTTAGCGCGCAAAAACAGCTTCCGTTTCCTCCGGTCTACCATAAAAATTTTTCCCTCGGGTTCTCTCATTTGTCAATTTAATTTCTTAGAGCCCGGAGCACCGGCAGTGAATAGAGCTTAATTTTTTTTAGCGCCAGGAGAGTGTTCACGTGGGCCACCAAGAAGCACGAAGAGAAACTCCAGCAAAGCTGCCTCGAGCTTGGGGGACCGGGCGGCGATCACCAAAAGTTCGAACGCGATTCTACCATTGTTTCGTTTACATTCACAGAAAAAATAGTTAATAGACTTTGAACTTTACGGCCAACAATCTGCTAGGGTAAATAGGTTGTGATCATAAGGACATTTCTTTTTAATTGTATTAACGAACAACTTCAAGTACGATAAGTAGTACCTTCACCGATTACGAACTTTAACAAAACTGGTTTCCTTTCACGATACACGCACGGATAATCTTTAAAATCGAAATGCTATTATTTACGAGCAAATTGTACATTTTCAAAGAATTCGGAAGCAATTCCGGCAGGTCCTCTTTAAGTCGGCATCGACGCGCGTTTCCGGGATTCCTTTCGATGCCCCGAAGATCCCTAACGGCCCACGAATTTTCCGTCACGAGCCGTAATTCCATAAACGTGGAGAGGTGATCGCGAGCGAGGATTTTTCCAGAATCGATATCGCACCCCGCTGGCCAAATTAATTAGGGACTTGCGTACGCAGTCGGGCGCTACTAATGACGCTAGGTAGGAGGGCCGACAGTATATCGAAATTTGAAGGAAGGAAAAAAGCGATTGCTACCCCGCGTATGTGCTTCCGATACACGTTCCGACTCCCACCTCGTACATTTACGCTCCTTTGATGCGCTTTGAAATACGACGGTGACAATGCAACGTAAAAACAATGCCGCGGCCCTTCAAACGCTTTGTCGGGCAAGCTGTCGTGCACCACGACGGAATGACGATAGCATGTATGTGGTAGGTAGGTAGATAGGTAGGTAGGTAGAGCTTTCGTGTGTAAGTTCGAGGATAGAAGCACATCCGTGCATGTGTGGGAGAATCTCGGTACATAGAAGTACGTATAAATACGTACAGAGTACGAACGGCGAGACCGTTTCCTCTTCTTCTACCTACACCTACATGCATGTACGTATCTACGTGCGCATAGAATTTCGTGATCCGACACGGGGTATACGTTCCTACGAATGTACCTACGAATGTGCGCATTACATGCCACTTACGCGGAATCGCGATTCAATAATCCGCGTAATCCTTTACGAACAAAACGTTGCAAGCCTGGAGGGCCATAAAAATTGTATCGCAGTAACTGTATCGAATACTGTAACAGCAGTCGAACAAAGTATTTGAAGGGCCAATTCGATCCAGTGCAAAAAGAGGTAGTTGAGAATCAATATCGTGGATCTTTCTCCAACGTTTCTGTTAATTCGAGGGAAACAGACATCTAGTACTGAATTTATATTTGCGAGACATGCATTAGATTGCGATTTCGTGATGCGTCAGGTTACTTTGCGAATGAAATGCTGTGAACTTGCTTTTGAAAGAAGCCGGGGATCCTCATTTTGATTATATTTATGATGCAACGTGGCGATGTCTGAATGACGATCGCAGCAAATGCGACGACGAGTATTGAATGTTAACGAACTCCTGAAGAGGGTTCTGGGGCAGCTTCGCGATCGGCTGGAATTTCCACCCCGAAAATATATATCTCCGCATACTTAAAGTAGCGATTTCGTATTCCGCGAGATCCCTCGCGCACTCGATCGTATGTAGGTACTTTATTATAGATTCATGGGGATTTCTATTGCTGCCTGGAAGTACGTTATCGTGAGCTAAGAAATAAGAAGCGATAGAATGACGTGCGAGGAAAAAGATTTAATGGTAATGCACCTGCAAGCTGAGTCGTGGAAAGTATCAATACAGGTCAAATTCATGAAATTTTCGATCACTTATTACCCCTTTGATATATTTTCATAAGAAGCTCATAACTTTTTCATTGTATGGCGTGCAGTTATATCTGTAATGTTTTTTAATCATTAAAATGTTCAAAAACAGCGTGTAATTTATTTTGTATTGAAAATAAATGAAGTTGAAATGTCTGTATATGTATTTATTCTCTGCAAATTCAACACAGTGACAAAATATTTATTAAAATACAACTAAAAATATGCACTTACTGCAATGATTTTGGAAATTGTCGATATTTGTCATTGTTCCAATATCAATCTACCTCTTTTAATTTTAAACATACCTACTCATACGTTCGTAATTCATTATACAAGAATGTAACGTTTTCGAACACGTCTCTGAAGGTTAATGGAAACTCTTGTCTCAACCATAAACATGTCTCAAGTGTAATGAAAAAGTCACTACGGTACATGTACGGATAACGAGCCCTGAAGCAATTTTTTCTACACTTCGTGCAATTTTTCAACAGAAATTATGCATCTCGCTCCTTTTTAGAATGATGCCGTATCCTTACATTATCAATTTAGGGACCCTTAACTTTCATGTAAAAATACATAAACACTGTACAATAGTGTCTACAAAAGTAGTAGACTGGTAAAATAGATACGATTCTTGTCTCTTTTACGAAGAGGCCAATGTTTTTTAAAACTCATGAGACACCATTGTTCGCAATTAACTACACGCAAGTAACTCATGAGGTACTCCATTGTCCTCGATTAATGTAACACAACTAACTCATACGTTTCTAACATCGCGATACGCTGTATGTGCGTATACACGCTCGGTACCTTGTAAACAATTGAATTTCCGAACAAACCGTAGCGCACGTTGAAACACGCTTCGAAATGTTGCGACAGCTGACATTACAGGCGTAAACGCGAACGCGTGCGGACAACGCAACGGATTAATTAGGGCTTTAATGCGGAAGCGCTTCGCACGG